GTTAAAGATTTTTTTGTCACGGGGCCCGATCTAGAGAATTGTCCTGGGGCCCGGCCTGGCTCTCGGCGGCCCTGCGTTACTGTTTTCAATTCATGTAAACTAACTATAGTCTAGAGAGGAAAGGACTGCAGTAAGGGGGCGTCCATTAATTACGTGAGGTATTTTTGAGGATTTTTTGACTCCCCCTCCCCCCCTGGCGAGATTTGGTAAGATTTTCCTTAACTCCCTCCCCCCCTTCCCTAATCTCACGTGAGATTTTTCAAAATTCGTGTTTTGGATGTAAATGTGTTGGATTATTAAAAAAAAAAACAAAAACACAATATGTTCCATTACTTTTATTTAAGACTGATTGAGAGTGTTGCAATTATTTAAAATCACACTTCCCAACCTTCAATGACGTTAGTAATGACAGCATTACATATATGGTTGTAAATAAACATAATTATAAGATTTTTCCATATTTTATTCTAGAAATACTTTTACTATAATTTAACTTTACTTTCACGCAATTTTACACCGTTTTCTACTAGAAAAAAAATTTCGTGAGATTTACGAAAACCCCCCCCCCTCCCCCCTAAGTGAGATTTAGAAAGATTTAGTTTTATCCCCTCCCCCCTTGAACACCTCACGTAATTAATGGACGCCCCCTAATCTAATTTGCAGAACATACTACAGGTTTAATAAGTAGACATTTTATGTATACCTCATCCTTCAATGCTTATTTGTAAATAAAATGAAAATTTTATTTTTTTTATTTGATTATAGTAACTGAAGTGTTTCTTTTCTAGCAATGTTTCTTCTCAATTACAAAGTTAATTACTTATTTTAAAATACTAATTTTACTGCTATCTTTAGGCAATTGAAGTGTTAAACAAAAAATTAAAATGGAACAAAATTAAAAACCATAATGATATTGATTACCAACACTAAGATATACCTACCAAATCTATACAATACATCAACAATACGTAATAGAATGGCAGGTCATCTGCCTTATCAAAACATATTGTCCGCGAAACTTTGTTTTTGAGAACTTAAAAAAATAAGTCTATCAAAAAATGTCTAAATGTTTATTTAAAACTTTGAGGTTTTTATTTTTTTGATAGAAGAAAAAAATTTTAAAACACCTACATAAATAATAATTTTTATTTCAGCACTAAACGTCTCCTGTATATAATTAAAATAATTTGTTTACAAAATATAGTAATATTGTATATTTTTTTCTCAACGTTTAAATGTTGAAAAATATTTATTGGAAAATAGCGATAAAAATAAATTAATAAATTTAACACGTCAGCTTATTTGGTGTTTAAACAAAAATTTTGCTAACAAACGAAAATTTTTCGATGTTTTGTCAATGTGTATAGATTATTTATAAATATTGACATATATAGAATGTAGTTCAATAAGAATTGTAAAATAATTTATTACAACAGTTTTTAAAATATTTTCATTAAAAATATATTTTTTGATTTTTTAAATCATTTTTGACGGTATTTAAGTATAAATATTTTGGAGCGAAATTATTTGGAAAATTTTAATAGATATCTTTTTGAATATTATAATTCCTTAAATTTCAGGGATATTTTAATTAAAATTATAAGATGTAATTTTAAAATTAGTAGAACACATAATAATTAAAAAGTAAATGTTTTGTCAAGAAAGGTATAAGGAATGTCAATACAGGTAGAGAAAAATTTCAATTATCTAGTAACTTATGGAATAAATAAATTGACTGAAAACAAAATTTAGGAAAATAAAAAAAAAAAAATTTGATTATTTTTGAAATCTTATTATTTAGACAATATATTTGTTGAATAAAATCAAAAAATATTAAAAACCTTCAAAATGAGACATATTAAATTGGTTTTTAATATTTATAAAAACGATACTGTTGCTTGTTGATATTTGGTTTTAAAAATGTTAAATAGATGTTTGAAACTACAAAGGTAGAGAGATACATTAAAAGGTTTGGTATTATTTTATTTTTGCTATAGTTGTAAGTAGGCAAGTATTTGTTTCTATCTGAAATAGATACAAGTGTAAAAAATATAATTAATCTAACAAAAATACTCTAAAATGCAATAAATTTCTAGAAATTTATAAAATTTTCACTTTACTATAATTTAAGTAATACAAAATATTTGCAAGGATAAATATCATAAGAGGTTAGAATTTTTTGAGAATATTTGGTTGTTTCTTTGAAAATTTTGCATACAAATTTACATCATTTGTAAGGGAACAACAAAATTGTCAAAAAAATTCTCGATTCGCATGGTATTTGGAAAGATTATTCTTATTCAAGTTTTAAAAATTTTGTAAATTTTATATTTACGTAAAATCAATGAAATAACAAAATATTATAAACTACAAAATGATGCAGGTATGTTAAATTGGTTTTTAATATTTAAGAAAATGGTATCGTTTGAAAATGTTTCAAAATAAAAAGAAAGGTACACCAAGAGGTACACTGATAAGTATGTAGGCATTCGCTTAGGTACTTTTGTTATATATGTAAGTAGGTTCCTATGTACCTCTATCTGAAATAGATAAAAGAGTCAAAAATACTTAGTTCAATAAAAATCACCCAAAATAAGGTTCATTTCAATAAACTTTTGTCAAGAAAGATATAAGGAATGTCCATACAGGTACATAACAATTTTAACTGACTAGTACTTACTTATGGAATAAATAAATTAATTGCAAACTAAATTTAGGAAAATCACAAAAATAACTAGGTAAATAAATATGATAATTTCCGAAATTTTATCCTTAGTCCTAGGTATAGATTAGATATATACCTAGGTAGGTACACCAAGAGGTACATTGCTAAGCATTTATCCCCCAGAATTTTTAAAAACTTATTAAATTTTTACTTTATCTTTTAATTATTATTCTTTAGTAATACACAAGAATACCTTATTTTAATGTATATTTAATCTCAATAACTAAAAAATATACTGACAATTAGTTTGACGGAATTGTCACTTATTTAAAATTTTAAAAGTAATAGCAGTCGGTTGATCAAAATATGATCTGTGATTGGTGGATTTCATTTTTTTTGCAGTGTTCTCACTACTTAGAATGGATATGAAATATATTCGTTCAGTAGAACGCAATATCATACCTTTTCGTTTTGTAGTCTGTGCTTAGATAAGCTAATATCCATGTGGATGTAGAAAAAATTGCTGGTTTTAATTTTTTGTCGTGTTCTTACTAGGTAGAATGGATATAAAATTATATTCGTTCAGTTAAACGCAATGGCAAACTTTTTCGTTTTGTAGTCTGTGCGTAAAATAGCTTATCCATGTGGGTGTAGAAAAAAACAGATTGCGCAACAAGAGGAGATATGGAGAATACACTCGAGTAGTACAATATATTTTTTCTACGACCTACTAACGAAAATCTTCAAATTTAAAAAATTATATTACGTTATTAAGATAAACTAACTAATTTTAAAATAATTTATAAATGTCCAAAATTTGAACTGTGATTGGTGGATTTTTTTTTATTGCAGTTTTCTCATTATTTAGAATGGATATGAAATATATTCGTTCAGTAGAATGCAATATTCGAGGCTTAGATAAGCTAATATCCATGTGGATGTAGAAAAAATAATAGTAGCCGGGTGACCAAATATGATTGCTGATTTTAATTTTTTTGGCAGAAGAACAGATGAAATATTTGTTCAGCTGAATGTAATAGCATAATTTTTCGTTTCGTAGTTTGAGCGTAGAATAGCTAATATCCATGTAGACGTATAAAAAATATTTTCAAGGGTAATAATTACAAGAGGTGAGAAATTTTTGAGAACATTTTTTTATCTTCGGAAATTTGCATAATTTGTAAAAAAACAACAAGAGATTCAAAAAGAATTCTTACCCCGCGTGGTATTTGGAAAGATTATTTAACAAAAAGTATAATCAGGTATAATAAGTACAATTTAACGTTAATTTTATTTGTTTACAAAATTATTATTAATATTAAATTATTATTTGAATAGTCAAAACGATTTTTGTCCTTTTTTGATAAACTTCACATTGACGTTTCGCATAAATCATTGATGGTAATGAATTGAAGTTTTTTTAATTCGATCTAATCCAATCACAGTTTAATTTGAGGTGCGTGTGTTGGAACAAAAAGGAATGTCATTGGTTGATGTAGATATTACATTGTTAAATGATTTTTTAAATACAAATAAATTTTTTATTAATATTATTATTCTTATTTTGTTTAGATTTCCATCTTCGATATCTCAAAAAAACCAGATTTTGTAAAAACAAACAAAAATAAATTTTTAAGCTCTAAATATAAAAATACTAAAAGGTTTGGAGAAAAAATAGATAATACCTATATATACCTAGTCTGTAGATAATCTAGATATTAATTACACATTTTGTTGAAAAATACCTATTTTTAGCAAACGTTTTTCTTGATTATTACCTATTTACTTAAATTATGTCCTTGTCAATAAATAAGACAAATTGACATTTCAAATCAAAGACAATTAACCCAATTTAAAAACTCTTATAACGATAAAAGAAAAACAAATAACGAACTTTGAAGAATATTTAAAAGCCTCCAAAATGAGTCCGCTCTATGTTTACATTTTCTACTTCTGCTATTTTAGTTTTTTGATCATCATTATTTAATTTAAATTCATTTAAAAGCCCCCAGTATGAAATTTCTACTCAAGAAGGTGTGCTAATAACTTTTGAGAATGTTTTGTTAACTTTAGACAGGTATCTATACTTATTTCTAACAATAGTTTGTTGCCTATAGTTTGATTTAAATTACGTTCCTGTCAATAAGACGTATGGAATTAAAATAAATTAGTATAATTTTAAAACGTTAATAACATTAAAAAGCACAGTTATAAGAAAATGTGGGTCCAATTTTTGTTTCAAATAGTGAAATTATGATTTTTTTCTCTTAATTATTATTTGCTTAAAAGTTTTTGTTGTCCCCGATGACATTCGGAGTAAAAATCAAATTCTAACCTTATTCAAATCCTTTAAAAGTCCTTAGGTCATATCAAAATCGGTCACAAAAGTTCAAAACAAAAGCAAAACAGAATCCAAAATCACTTCCGAAGCACAAAAAAAATATCGGCAAATTGTCACTGTAAAATCAAGTCCACAAAACGAAATAATCAAAGCTCACAGTAACGGAATAAAATCCAATAATAATGACGCGGAAACGCAACGAAATACCGCACGTAAAATTAGTAAACAAACCAAAACCAGGGGGATGCAAACTATAAAGTGAAACCAGCACTGATGCGTACGGTAAGAAGTCGTTTCAGCGACTGACTGTCAGTTTGGAAACTCCCTCTGAACGCGGCGTTGCTCCCCACCACGGCGGCTTCGAAAATTTCAGTAAATTGGAGAATCGAGATTGGTCGAAAGAGTGAATAGGGTACAATCTGGTGCAGAACGATGGGAACGGGTAAAAATTATTGCAAATTCTTATGATTTCTTTATTCTTTTGTGGAAGTTTTACTCGCTTTTCCAATGTTATTGAAGAATTTGTCGGGTGTAGTACGAGCGAGTTTTGTCTGTTTTGTAGTCGAGTGTACGAATCAACAGGCTATTCGAATTCGAAGGCATGGTTTTGCGGTTTTGTATGTCTCACAATTAGTTTTATTTTTCTGTGTTCTTATACTGTATGTATTTTATGGGTTTATTGTTTGGACGTTCAGATAAATTCGAAGAAAGAAATTGTGTTTTTACATTTTACTTGAAGATATTTGCAACGCGTCAATTACAAAAATAGGTAGGTATACAAACCTTCTTCCCTTATTTTATTGAAGAGCACAGGAATAAAATGAAGTGTATTCAAAGAACATTTTCCTAATTAAGCTAAATAGGTACAATAACTGCAATTTTATTGCAAGCTTACAAATTATATAAATGCAAGTTTCCTTGCTAGTTTGTTAAATATTTATTGATAGCTTTCAGCTCACTCTAAACTTAAAAAAAATACATTTAATATGCCATACTTTATGAAAACTTACTAAATTAACTCATTGTTAACATGCAATCAGAAACTTATTTAAAGTTTCAATTTAAATATTATCTAAGAACTGTTATTAATAAATTATATGAAAATTTTCAATTGACATACCTACAGACCCTACACTGCATGGGCGAAGTTAAGGGGGGGCTTGGGGGGGCTAAGCCCCCCCAAAAACCAAATTAGCCCCCCCAAAAATAATTCGAACATTTATCGCACATCCACCCAAACATTTCAGATTTCAGAACAGAAATTAAAAAATAAAAAGAATCGTGCCATTTGATTGATTCTGCAATTTTACATTTAGTTCAGGAGGCAGTGAATTTTTTTTTGTATTCATTTTTCCAGTCGGTGTATATGAAAAATAAACTGTTCTCTTAGTGACAAAAAACAAAATTTTTGAGTCTGACACTTATTTTCCCAGTCATAACTATTTTACATTTACTAAACTAGAACATAAAGCTTATAAAAATAGCAGTTTGGATTATCTCAGATAGTGGAAAGTGAGTGTGGCAGAAAATTGAGCATATAAATTGATACAATCATGAACTGTTTATAATAATAAGTCTGGCTGATTTACGAAATTGGATAATGAGTCTGGTAATATCTTCTAAATGGAAAAAATATAATATTTTTGCTTTTATTTTCCCGGGTTTGAAAATTTGTCACGTGATAGATTAAATTATAATTTTACACCTCCATTTTATAGCCAATCAACTGCTGTTATTTTAAAACACTTTCATGACAACCAGAAAAATTTCCGGAAATTTTTCTTTTGGTGGGTACCCTGAACGAAATTATACTGAAAATTTTTTTGACAGTTTAGCAGCTCTTTCATGCATATAAAAAATTTGCCATTTCAGTGGTTAATATTTTATTTAATACCAATTATAACTAGGTAGAAATACACTACATTTATTTTATGTAAAATAATAATTAGGTTTTTCGCGTCAACTAAACGACTTCAAATATGACAAATGATCATGGTATGGCCTCAGCATATAAAACATATGTTTTATATTCTGTGGTATGGCTACCTTTGAAAATTTGATTTCAGTCGTTTTAATGTATGTCTGTCAAGTTTTGAAATTTGGATATTTTGGTGTAAAACTTTCTTACCCAATACCAAACGTGCCTAAATTATTATCAGTAAATTTTTGCACACTCACGCATATTTTAAGAACATTATCCATCTACTTAGGATACATTTCAAAATATTCGTAAGTGAAAATACACGTCTGGCTGACAATTACAATTACGGAGGCCTGCCAAACTCACAAGTAGTGTCCGACCGAAGGTTCGGTTAAGGTTTCGGCCAACTTTGGCGTTAAATAATAGTTTCGGCAGAAAACTGGCCGAAACTGCAGCCGACAGCGAAACTACTTTTTAAAATTTTCGTATCACATTTGGTTGTGTCCGGCACAATGGCGACTGTGCCGGGTGCCATTCCTACACAGTGCACGTACACACAAACTTATCTGCTTTGTTTCAAGTGAACATGTCAATAAATTTATTAATGGCTTCTTTTGATCACATAAATAAACAGGTAATAAGTAAATGTAGCTAAAATTTATAATACTAGTTAATTAGTCTAAAACAAGGATTACAATGAGATATTGCAAATTTCAATAAGAGATTGCCTTAAAAGAAAGTTCTTGTTTCTGTTTCGGCCGAAACTAAGAAAGGAGCCGAAATTTGGTTTCTGTTTCGGTTATAAAACCGTATTTTGGTCGGACCTGACAAGCCAGGTAGTTAAACGAGGAGAGGAATAGTAATCGAACGTGCCGAATTTAGCGCGCCTGACGGTCATTAGACGAGTCTGGCAAGGCTTTCGGGGTGTTCCACATTAGCCAGATTGTATTTTAAGCTGTTATCATAATATACATTTTTCTAGTAGTGAGAACACTTGTAACAGGGATCCTTACTGGACATTGCCAACTAAAATTACACCTTAGTAAACTGAGAGTAATAGAAGATAGTGCAGATTTTGTGAGGAGGAGGAAAAAATCTTCATTCACATTCTAACTAAATGTGTAGCACTTCAGAATCCAAGGGCACTATACCTAGGAGCATATCAAATAGAAGAGGGAAATTTACCTAACTTGAAGCCACTCCAAATCCTACACTTCCTTGAGAAGATATAATTGAAAAGATCTTTATTCGCGATTCAAGCTAAGTGATACGCCCTCTGGAGGAAATTTGTAGAAGGTCCCTATAAGTAGGATATCGTTCAGTGTTGCCAGAAGTAGCAAAATTTCGCTACGTCGTCGGATTTTAGCTCTTGAAGAAGTGGATAAGACCTTTTATTTAAGAATCAAAATTTGTGTATTGTAATATGTAATCATACTCTATATTTATTTAAGGACTTTTTTATAAAACCGATTTATTATATTATTTTTTTTTTTTAATTTCAGTTCATTTATTAATTTTGTTTTAAAATCAGTTCATCATTTGGCAACGAGTTCATTGTTTACATTTTAATTTGTATCAATTACAATTCGAGTTTTTCTTACTTTTTAGCTTTAAATTTGTTTATTTCTTATAGTATGTGATAGTGTTTATGTTAAAAATGAAATCTGCGAAAAAGTCCCCAGCAAATTGCAATCTATATGGTGTTAATGTCGAAATCAAAACTGAAGTATTCATTATTTTCCAAGTGCAAGTCGTAAAATTGTGTTTTTTACCATAAATGGATATCTACAAATTCACAATATTGAAATTTTGCAAAACTTTGTTTAGAATCGATATATGATATTTTATCCATTTTCATAGATTCGCCAGAATTTTTTTACTCAACTTCAGTAGGTATACCTCTAGAACTATTATATATTATATGACTAGGGCTAGGGCTTTAGCCCCCCCAGATCTGATGACATAACTTCGCCCATGCCCTACAGTGTTAAATCTAAAATTCTATCATATTTACATAATATTATAAATACGCTTTAAACTCTTAGGATTTTATTGCCTTTATACCAGGTGTTTCATTATAGGCATTTTAAACATTTCTAAAACCCTAGCTAACAAGAAATAATAATATACAATTTTCATTAGTCTAACTTCTATAAGTTTTTTTTTATCTGTTGTTTTCCTCGTATCCTGTTTAACCAGAAATTATATTATGTATTTTCGGAGACAGCAGACAGTTAGTTATAACGTGTGGTGATTTGGATAATTGTACCTGTGCCACCCGGTTTTGTGGAATGTAACAATGGGCCACCCTTATTTTAATCCCTTTTAAGACTCTGATGAGCGCACGGTTAGGTAAATTAGGGGGTATTTGTTTGTGTAATTTTTTTTGTTACTAATTTAACCGCCGGGTGCTTGTTTTAAGTAAGTCCCCTCGCCACTCAACTCTGAAAAAAATTTTTTTTGATTGGCTAAGGCTAATTTTTTGATTTTTGTGTTTTTTGGTGGTAACATATCAAGAATTTGGTAAATTCAATATGTTCACCACTTTTTTAACATGCTCCGGTTTTTGCTTGCGTTTTTGCAGCTTTGTACGCTTTTGAGCTTTTTTTGGTGGTTAGTTTCTGGCAGCGTTAATTGGTTGGTCTCAACTCCGCGTCGCCAGACCCTACTCCTCTTTTACTAATATGATTATAACATTTAGATATAAAATAGATGCTTTCCTATTCTCGTAGATCAAGAACCGTGAAAGTCTCTCAATCACTATATTCACTTGATTAGTCATTATTTACTGATATTATTAAAGGTGGCACTGTAGTATCGACATCCAAGATTTTGTCCAGATTCCACATGTTTTCTTCTTCTTTGAACAGATGCTCGATTGCCTTTTGCGAATTTTCCTTCGTAACAAGTGACATGGAGGTTTCTAACAATGCTTCTACATCTTTTAACTTAAATGTCGTATTATGTCGACCCACATATCCTTTAACTTGGGCCCATATCAGTTCAAAAGGATTTAGTTTGCAGTGATAGGTATTGGCGGCGGAATAATTTTTCTTGGGAGGGGACTTGAGCCCCCCTTAGAAATCCACTCTTCCATAAAATAAAAACAGTTGTGTCCTGTACTAATGCTGCTGGCCTTAATATTCCCCCTATGATAATTTTTAAGAGAAAAATATTTACTCCAGAAGGTGCTCCAAGTGGAAGTATTTGTCAGATTTCTGACTCTGGGTACATCAACTCTGACTTATTCCTAGTTTGGCTGAAACATTTTCACAAAATTGTAAAAAGTGGCTCTAATAAAGATGTTCTTTTGCTATTAGATGGACATGCAACACATAGTAATAATCATATTCATCTTCTTCAACTACCGTCACA